TAACTCTAAAGAATGCAAAGAAGACTTTTTTTGCTGATGGCAAAGGAACAGGAAACCGGTCGTCCGACGTCCGGTCTGGCGTCTTTCGACGGAAATTGCGCTGTCCGACTTTCGATGTGTTGTCGTGGTTTTGGGACGAAGAGGAACGCCGAGAGTGGAAGGAATTGGCCGGGTACCGTAGTAAGTAAACCTTCCGGTTTCCTGGGAACGTTGACTCTATTGGAAAATTGAAAATAAAATCGGAGGCGAGAAGGTCGACAAAACTCGTCCTCGTAATGGAATTCGTAAAGATGCAATAAAACCTAATGCATAAACAAAAAGCTTGAATCTATTGTTCGTTCGAATTTAAGTAAAAAAAAATCTTCAACACAAAAAAAAATAGAATTAATTTAAATTTAAAGTGTGAATTTAAAAAATACTTCGATAAAGATGTTTCGAGTAAATTGAATTTTATTTGTAAAACGACTAGTTTAGCGGATCTTGTTTGTGTGAAACGTTGATGGTTTAGTCAAGGAGTTTACATTGACGAGTAGAATTACCCGTTAAATAAATAACGCACAATACGCCAGGTTAAATAAAAATAACTTTCATCGCAGTTTACGGTTGGAAAATACAATGAAATAAATTTAATTAATTTGCAAATCGAGGTATCGTGCAATTATTGGTATATCATATTTTCATTAATCCATTAATATCATTAAATAAAGTATTCAATACGCCCAATATTTCATTACAAGATTATCAAAAAATTAACTAATTTAGTATCGTATTAAAATAATTTATAATTTATTTTCGAAACTATAAAATCAAATAAAATAAAATAAATTACTAAACAAATTTGTATAAAACTAAATTGTGTTTAAATAAACGAAAGAATATTCTAAAATTTACAAATGAATGGGAGTTTGTTTCAGAGTATATTGAACTAAAGTGTGATTTAAATGAAATTAAAACCGTTAGACAATAGAACTTGAGAACAAAACAATAGAACTTTAGATGAAACCACAAAAACAGATTGTTGAAACTATTCTGAAGCTTTGTGGGGATTCCTATTAAAGATAAAGTTTTAATCAAGAACAGACTGATTGTTTTATACTGTAAGACAAATCCAGTAATTTTATTGTTTTGAGTATTTCAAAGCGATATAATGCCGATTTTGCCACACTCGAAATTTGATATACTTTCCTGATAATGGCACATTGCGTCAAAACCGGTAGAAATAAACTGCAGAACAATTTATTTGAGATTCGCTGCTGTTTCATAAGATTTTGAAGTGATTCTAGTAATATTTAAGTTTGTCGTTTATTTTTCGCCAAGCAAAAATGTTGTGGTTTCGACGAAATTTGTGGTAGTGACCATATATATAAACTTAATATGTTAGGTCGGTTCGGATAGGTTTGAAAATTAATTGGGTTAATATCCAACTAGTTTTGAGTAAGTAATAATGACAAAGCACATCAAAAACATTACAGCACTTTGCACAACTTATATAGATTCACTGTTAATAATTACAGCGGTTGGTTCGATTTTTAAAATGTTTCAGACATTGGCGGGAGTTGATCGTTGATTACTCTTAATTAAGCTATAAGAATTTGGCTTACATGGATCAGCTTGTATCTGTCAGTATTCAAATACATGATCGGATATTCCTTTCTTCTGATGTTTGGTAAGATGCCTACTTTTGAAAAAATTAAAATTGTATCTTTACACGCAAAAACGAAGAATGTTGGAAATAATGAAATAGCAGAACTTGATTAATTTAGTTTAAGTTGAATCGTGTTCCTCTACACCTATAACAGCAAATATGGAAATATAATTTGTTGCTTTGAAAAAGCAGATTTCCTCGATTAGGTTTTTCTGGAATTCTTGCAAACTTCAGATTGAATAGAATACCAGATCAGTTTGATTTTAAACTTGCTATTTCCCATACTAGTGAAAAACAGAACAAATTTCAAGTTGAGCAGAATTTCCGATTAATTTAGTTTAAGTTGCATCGTATTTCTCTACATCTATAGCAGCAAATTTGGAGATAACATGCTTTTGTCATTTCCTATTTCTATTACAAACCAGTTTTCCTTGATCGGGTTTTTCTGGAATTTTTGTAATTTTCAGGTTGAGCTGAATTCCAGATCAATTTAAGAATAGTTTCCAAAATCGAAACGGGTAACGAAGAGATCTAATTGGAATCATGGATGTTCTGCCTTATGTAAATCTCTGAAAACAGGTTTTAGTTGGAGTTTTTGCAAATTCCGGCTTGAGAAGAACTTTTGATTAATTTAGTTTGAGTTCATCATGTTCTTCTACATTTATACCACCAAATACGAATATAAAATGATGTTTGTCGTTTTCTATTTATATGGAAAATCTTTAAAAAAGTTTAAAAAACTTGCCTTGTTCAGGCTTTTCTGGACTTTTGCAATGTTTAGATTGGGCAGAATGTATTAATTTGGATTTAAACTGCATCATAATACCCATCATATGTAAAACACCTTTGGTACTTCTAATTCCAGTGGAAAAGTGTGTCCCTCTACATCTATTGCAGCAAATACGAAAATAAAATGATTTTTGCCGTCTTCTATTTCTATGGAAAACTAAGTTTTCTTTGATCAAGATCTTCTGGAATGTCTGCAAATTTCAGGTTGACTGCAGATATGAAAAAAAAAATACTTTTGTCACTTCTCACTCGTTTGTAAAACAAGGTTTCTTTGAATTTTCGTAACTTTGGAGTTGAATTTAAAAACCATCTATAGCAACAAATATGGAACAAAATTATTCTAAAATTTATGTAATTTTCGGGTTAGGCAGAGTTTCTGATCAATTTATTTTGAACACCTTTCTCATTACTTTTAACATACGGCGAATATAGAAAAACTTCTTCTATTGTCATGTTCCACTTATTTGGATTTTTTTTAATCGCTAGTATTATGTAACCTTTCTCTTAAATAAAAACGAGGGAAAATCTGCAATGTTTTGAAGAGCAAGGTGACAGTGCCACAATGCCAATAGTTAACAGAATGTTCTTAGATGACCTACGTCTGAGCTGCTTCACTTATTTACCCATACTTTACTCCATATAAAACCGGCCGAAGATTAGATAATTTCGTGTTTTTATATGAAGGGGAGAACCTGAAATACACGCATCTGAAAAGAACAACCTTTTCTTCAAAGACTCTTTTCTTAAACAATTAAATGATTTTGAGATAGGCCGAGCGATTGCTTACATTTAGGGAACAACCTAAACGTTTTCTTAATCTCATAGAGCAGCGATCGAGATTGGTGGAGGCTTGTGGTTTTTGAGGATTCAAAATGAGAAAAGCCGAAACGGATTATAATCCTATATAGCCCTATAAAATATAGTACCTATAATATAGTCGCTTTCAGTAGGGAGAAAAACTTTGTAATGATAGATCGAATTGACGTCAAAGCCATACGCTGTACAATAACTATTTTTGTGATAAACCAGTGTTGCCAAAAATTAAGCAGAACTAAACCTTTTTATATATTTACTATGAATAATAAATAGTGGTACGAAAAATAATTAATCTACCAGTACACGCGTGGATTACAATTGTAATTCATGAGTAATATTTGGTTTGCCGCTGGGCTATAGTTAATATCACCTAAACCCGAATCTAATTAACTCATTGCAGTATCCTGCAACTAGGATAGTGACATTGGCTAAGCCTAGAACAAAGGATCTATGACCTCGTTAAGCCGAGGTCGCTTCCAGATGAAACGCAGGAATATGTTGACTAGTTCATATATTAATTGCAAAGCCTCTCCCGTAAGCAACCTCGGCTAATACTAGAATAGGGAGTCGATGATTTTACCGGATTAATGATTGGGGATCACAACTTATCTTATGTTAGTGCAAAAAATCTATACCTTCGCTTGATTAAGCCGAGCTTGCGGCCGAGGTGTTACGATTAATCCCATATCCACCGAAAACTGATAAACACTTTGCAATCTCAGGCGCAAGTGACCTTGGTTAAGCTTAGAAAAGAGTCTATGACTTCATTTAATTAAGACAAGGCAGCTTGTAGTGGAGGTGCTACAATATCTTGATCAGTTTGGGGTTGATTTATTAATTCTAGAGCCTCGCCTACAAGCGACCTTAACTTCACCGAATTCATCTCAAATTACTTGCGGTTGAAGCGCTACACTAAGTTGATTAACTTGGGTTGCTACATTGGTTGTAGAGCCTCGGTTGCAAGCACCCTCGGTTTAAGTTAGACCAGAGTGTCTAAAGTTTGCCTCATTAAGCCGAGGTATGACTTCTGGATTTGGTAATATTGCTAATGTTGCAATATAATAGTTGATATTTCGACTTATTTTAGAGCAGAGACTTCATTAAGCCGAGCTTGCGGCCGAGGCGTTGCTATTAATCTCATATCAACCCAAAATTGATCAACACGTTGCACGATCGCAAGCGACATTAGCTTAATGAGGCGAAGTCACAGAACTTCTATTGTTTTATCTATTGTTATTCTAATTTGGAATAAATTTCCATTTATAAATTTAAATATCGTTTTAAAAATTAATTTTTTTTGATGTCATCGTACAAATATCTAAGCCTAGAAAATGTTCAATTCCTTCCCTGAAAATCCATTACCCTACATCGAATGAGTGACGTGCGCTCTCGGTAGCTATTCAATTCCATCTTAGATGCGAATGGGGATTTGTCAAGGCCCCGGGGTAGCCTTAAAGGGGGATGACTACGTATAATAACCGGGGATATTCCCGGGATAACACAAAGTCGGCAGCCAACTGGCAAACAATTTGAGGAATGTTCTTGGATGGTAGCTTCGGCATCTGGACCTTATCCTTCTTGTTAGCTTCCGCAATAACCTTGGGAATAAATAACCCCTCGCAAAACGAATCGGTTTGATAAACGACAATTTTTTTATGGATAAAAGAGGTGTTTAAGAGGATCACGTAATAAATTAATGTAATAAAGTGGGATAAAAATAAACAAAATCAATTCGTGTGATATAACTTACCTCTTCCAAATTCGGTACGACATCATGGACGATGCTACAAATGGTCTCTAAATCGGAAGAGAGCGTCAACATCCTGAAAATTATTCAAAAAGTAGATTAGGTAATGTTCGGAATTCATGAATTGAAAATAAGGAGAATTAGGCTGGGAGTGCCTCGCCTAGTCTACTGTTATTGGCCGGGGTGGACGGGGTCGGAGATTAATCGCCATCCTATATGCCGTTTATTTGGGCGATGAATCTGACAAAGCGAAGGTGTCATTTTCGCCAATGGAGTTATAGTATAGTCCTCAACCTATATAGAAAACTAGCGAGGCATGATTCGATCGCACTCACGCCTAATTCAAGGAGTTTTATTAATTACATGTTTTTATTATTATTTTTTGTGTATCGGCTTTAGGTTGCACCGCTTGTTACGTTTGCTTATTTGTGATGTTAGTGGCATTTCCGGTGTGAATTCGCAAATAGAAGTTGAAGATAACATCTTATGATTTAACAACAAATATTTACGTTAATAATTATTGAGATACAGCGGGAGTTAAGGGATGATCGGGTAAAATGCGGTTTGTTAAATTAGAGAGTGTTTTAAATTAAAATTGCTTTTGCAGTGCAACCAGGGCCGGGTTTACAAAAAAAGTAGTGTGGGTAGAAGATACAGGCAAATATAAAGAGTAGTAAAAACAAAAAAATTGTATTAAAAAAATATTTTTTGTTTTTCTTTTTAAAAAAATGTTTGGGTGTGATTTGGAAAATAAAGTACTTTTATAAAAAATTATTATTAATTAAAACGTATTATATAGATTTGTGTGTTTTTACCGTTCAGGGCCAGGGCAATCAGGGACAGTAATCGAGGCTTTGTACTGTTGGGCATTCCGGACAACAATTCGCCGATTGGTTGGTTGGCAGTTGGTAGATGTTGTGGGTGGGCCGGGCCAAGGGGTTGACATACCGAATCAAAACAAAAAGAAAAACAAAAACTCAGCTTGAGTCAGAACTTTTTCCTCTTCAATTTTATATTTTCGAACAATCTTCAATCTATATTCTCTAACACCGATCAAATTGTACACTGCTTTTATACAAACAAAAAGTTTAATTGAATTGTAAGGCAAAAAAATATAAAATTATTAACCATAAAAACGAAAACCTTTCAATGACGATTTAAATTTAAAATGTACACACTGTATTATGAGAAAAGCAGACTGTTATTACTTGGTTACTGTGTTACAAGGACCTGATGTGTGTCATAGCAAAAAAATAACGATTAAACGCGCACTAAATTGAATTAAAAAATAAACCATTTAAGATGAAGTGTCTCGTTCTAGAACTATAGATATTAGTTCGGGAAGTTGAGACCGATTTGTTTGATTTTTTTGTTGGCAACCCATACACCACGAATCAATTTCCTTGCCAATTAATACTGACCTGGCTTCTTAACTTCGTGATGTTTTGACCACCTTTTCCAATTATGGAACCTGCAACCTAAAACAAAATATCTATTAGTAAGATGTTTAATTTTATGTGGTTAACCGCTGTAACAATATCAATCCACGTAGGTGTAAATAAATGTATCGGAAGCTGAATATCAAGTAACAATTGAGTAATCAATACGTATGTAGGTGTAATTTAATAATTTCAAACCGTTTCCTAATTTAACACAAGATATTGTAAATAATTTCACTTCCAATTAAAATTAATTAACGTGACCTAGATTTAACATAAATACACGATTTTATATTCGTTTGGTAAAGTAATTTAATAAGTATTTTCTTTAATATATTCGTGTGAGCAGAAGTCATCAAAGCGCACACGCCACATATTCATTAATAATTCAATGACGTTAGTCGCATAAACATTTAGCAAAAATATTCTAAATGTTTACTGCTGCGCATATTAAAAAGATTATTCATAACGGAATACTTTATTAAAAAAAAAACAATTTAATTAATCCAACTTTATCTTTTCCGTTTGGCATGTTATAGTGTCATAACATAAAGTCGGGGTTGCATTAGCAAAAGATATTTTTGTAGATCCGGTGAGTGACGAGCGAAAGGTTCGTTTTGTTGCATAAAGTCACGCAAAGTGATCGGAAAAACCACAAAAACAGAAAAACAAATTCAAAAAAGAAAACTATAAAAAGGAAAATATTTTTACACATATTGATGTGTTAATAATAAAAGTTTTAGTACAAGATTAATTAATATTTGATTTAATCTCCGACCGGTTTCCCAATTAATACTTCATCATCAGGATGTGTGTATTTGACATGTTAACTATTAACTTTTCGCTAACACTCAGATGTGTTTGGCTTTATTATTAGAAATACTATCACAAAGTGAGAAGCAATGTAGAATACTGTATTGTATTTCTTGGAATTCGAACACTAATTACTAAGAGGAAACTGATATTAGTCATTACTATTTCAACGATGCGACCTTAAATGAGGCGAAAGCATTTCAACGACTTGTTAGATGATTCTATGCGAAGATTCCAATTTGCGAGTATACAGTACAAGCTAAGCAACTTTTCAACGCTTCGGAAAGCAATTAACAGTAACTTGAAGCCACTGCACTCGTTTGAGTACACGATAAAGTCTTCAAAATTTTTCTGAAATTTTCAGTTATTCTCGCATCTTCTTCGCAGATCCTGATAAGAAGTTCGACGCAGTCATGTCTGGTTATCTCAGATGTCAAGATTTGATAGATATAATGTAGACTTTACGAGAGGACTTAATATAGGCATGTTAAAGATTTATATTACATTTGATATAGGCATAACGAATCTATCAAGTTATGAAGTGCACTCGCAATTTAATGCAGACTTCAAGAACTTGATGCAGTTTTAATAAGGATTTTCAAATTTGACTTCGTACAGACTTGATTTGATAGAAACATAACGAGGATTTTAATAAACTTGACTTCACAGGGTTGTCCTAACGCAGAGTTGATGTATATATATTAGAGATTTAATGCAGGCTTCAAAACTGTGATTTAATGTTAATACGGATTATATAGAGATTTTCTGAAACCTTGAAGGAGTTTAAATGTTAGATGCAGAACCGATTGGGATATAATAGAGTCTTGATGTAAACTTGACTTTGTAGGGACTTATCCTGATTTAGAATTTACGACGATGTGATGCAGGCATAATAAAGATATAAAGTGAAGTGATGGGTGTTTATGATTTGATACAGATTTCAAAGACTATAAATTATAAGAAGATATTATGGAATTTTGAAGGAGTTTTTAAGAGTGCATCAGTTAGATGCAGCAATGGTGCAGATTCTATAGATGTTTTTCTTTCATCTTGGATTCAATAAACCCTTCCCCCATTTCTTTGCTGTGTTTCAGCAGGAGACTTTATTTTGGACCTTGTCCGGGCAACCGGGGGGCACTTCATCCCAACGAGAATCACCTTTCCTGTTTTAGACATCAGTTCTGGTACTACATTGTCAAAGTGTGTATATTGAAACTAGAATCGGAAGGGGCTCTTTATCCCAACGGGAAACTTCCTCCATCTTCGCAGATCAGAATATGAATGTAGATGTCTCAAAACATGCAGAACTGAGCAATGATGATAGAGATGTAAAGTATAGGCTCTTGATTAATATGTGATGTGTTGATGGAATCTCAAGTAAAATTGAAGAATTTATTTAGATATTATATAGACTTAATACTGAATTGCTTCGATGAGGACTTGGTACAGATTTTATGCAAGCATGATAGAGAGTCAGAGTCAGAATGGAGATTTGAGACAGACTGCAAAAACTTGACAGATTTAAAAAATTTGATGCACTTTTAATAAAAACTTTATAGAGGTTTTACGAAATTTTGAATAATCTCAACCGCAATCTTCAGCTCATATCAATCACATTAATTCTACAATGACTAAGCTTTTCAAATTAGTAATTAAATGAAGCTCATGTGGAAAAATCATTATTATCACTAGATTTATTGTAGAAAATGGATTTATCACTTTATTTCTAAACGTCCCTTTTTTTATTATCTGAACATTATCAAGAACATCTCTTAATATCAGTTATTACCAATTTCATTTTTGAGATTAACTAATTTTCCACCAATGTTACTCAGAGTAAACGAATAGATCACTCTCTGAAGACTCTGCACACTCGAATAACGATTATAAAAAGATGATAAAAGCAGTGCAAAGTTATGTTGAATCGAACAAGAAAAAAAAGGTGACTTAGCATTGATTCTGGAAGAAAAATGTGTCGTTGGCAAGTTCTTCCTGTAAGGATCTTTGTCTTTTTTCAAAATGAATGTCTCTGAATCTTGATACAACTGACTGAAAGTTGAAGATTTTGGGTCAAACCCAAATAGGTGGAAAACATGTAATAATAGCTAGTGCAACTATAAGTATTGTTAATTGTGCGCGGTTAGTTGGATTCATGCGCTGTTTCAATTGTGCTTTGGCTTTGTTTGCAGCACCTTTGAGACCTAAACAGAATCCTACATTTTTACTTTCGTCCTGAAGCTTAATCGTTGGATCTCTCTTAAATGTTCCTTTCATCACTTTAAAAAATTAAGAAACTTTCAGCGTATACCAGCAATATCTTGAAGTCTGCTTATTTAAGTGTATCTAAAACCTCATCAACACAGTCTAATGAGCAGTATGTTTTAAACTGTTACATGCTAAAATGGGATTCTTGTTATAAGTATAGATACGTTTCGTACTTGGGTCTTAGCAATTCCTATGGCATTAACACAAATCCTATAGATATATTAAGCAGTCTTGACAAAAGACTAGATTCTGCTTAACTTAATAGAAACAAGATGAAAACTTGATGTAGACTTTATACAGAGTTGTCTCGATACAGACTTAAGGCAGGCTTATGGCCATATTCGTATCGACATGCATGGTAATTATATCAACGGAAGTGGCAAATGGCATTAGATACAAGAGCCATACTATCGTTGGTATAAAGAACTACGATGTCAGGTTGTCCCATGCCTCTCTTTTCACGAGAAAAAATTTATACTCATAAAAGAATAGTTACTTAAGAATAAATAAGTAAATCCTAAGCCCCTCTTCGTTCTGCCAGATGACGTATATTGATATGACTTGTCAAAGATAATTGTTTAGCTTCGCAGTGTCTTATTTTTCTGCTGATTTATTATTTCTGGTATTTTGACTGCATTTTAGTAAGTATAACTGGACTAGTTCGTTATTTTTATAAATTACAATACTGCCAAACGCTGTCTATTTCTACAAATTTGTAGTGCATGATATCTATTTCCTACAAATTGCGGCGCTGCATGAGATCTCTTAATAAGATACCACAAGTAGCATAGTCAGTCTTAAGTTATTGCCCGGTCTCTGTCCGTTTTCTATTGAAGATATTTTGCCACGCCTCTAGCATGTACGTTGGTTTTAAATTATATTATACTTATTTATGTAATACAATACTTAACACAATTAGATATAGTGTATGGAAAAGTTTTTGACATAAGTAGTGATCAAGCATTTCTTGAAATAACTTGAGCTAACGAAAAATATACACAACTTGTTGAAAAATTTTAATAATTTTTTACAATTAATAAACAAAAATTAATTTTTAAAAAAATACACAAAAACATTCCATTCTAAAATAAGAATTAGGTTTAAAATCGTTGATTCATAATTCTTAGGAGTTAAAACAATTTATTAAATAAAAAAAAGAAATGTGATTTAAATGAAGCACAATTCAAGGACAAACGCTTAAAAGACTCTAAATATAATTTGAGTTCATAAAGTTCTCGTACTTGAGTGATTAATGGTCTTGGAGTTTACGAATCGTAACCGCCGCCCGCAGGTGAATCATCGTGTTTCTGTGCACGATAAAACATAATGCGAATATTCCTTGTGTGCATTCAAAGAGAGAAAACTCGGTTGAGCTTGTTTGTAAGATTGCGAAAAGTGAGTTTCACTTTTCTTTCCATTTTAAAGAAAAGCGGACGACGCACAAAGAGATTCTTTTGTATATTCTTGTACAAGATAAAAATAAGTTTAAAAGAAAAAGTTTAGTACTTACTTTACTTGGAATTAACAAACGCAACTCCTCATCTCCACGTCGTGTCCTTTTTTGTGGAGCCCCCATGTCAAGATCAGCTTCCCGTTTCATGTTTTATCTTTAAAAAAATAAATAGAAAAAATTAGTAATTGTATATATTCTTTATTAATTAATTGTATCCATGACACAAATTCTCAACCACAGATAAAAGAAAATATGTGATGATGACACCATCTTATGTTTGATTCAATAAATACATTCAAGGATGTTAATTACCGTTTCGAAATTGATAACTTTAATGTTGTTGGTGTGAAGTAAAAGGTAATTTTAAAAATGAGATACCAGTAAAATACATCGAATTTCATTCAACGATCTTCAGATCTGATCTAAATGTTTGAAAAGCGTTTATATCACGTAAATGGTTTCAATTGAGATTGTCTAGACAGATAATATCTTTTAAAGTTCTATTCAAAACAAGAAGTATAATTTAAAGGTGATTTCGTTAAACGAACGAAAACCTGTTTGTTTCATTCGCGGGTTATTGTAAATTGGTAGTGAGTTATTTGATATCGTAAAGTAAATATTTTTTCTTTAATGGTTGATATTTTCACTTAATATTGAACATTCTGGCGATTGGTTATTTTTAAAATTCATTTTGTTTGAAAAAGTTCGAACCTTTTTAGCATGAGAGATTCGTACAAACATAAATTAAACACACAGATTTTTAGAGTACATTATTTTTTATACATTGCTTTTAATATTTTAAAATCAACATATGAAAACATAAAACCATTTTGCAGAAAAATATCCATTAGTTTCAGAGTCAATGCGATAGTATCAATGCATTTAATACTTTTAAACTTATTTGCTAAAATTAAGTTAATGTCTAAAATATTACGAAAACCTCTATGACAGGAACCCATTAAGCGAAACCAGTGATAATGGATTTGTTTTCTTGCTAATTCTCCTAGACTTTAAATCAGTCCCTACTATTATCTCAATATAACTTGATAGAATCTGCTATAAACCTATGTGAAGGCTACAATATTAGCTTGCCCAAGGATAAATGAATATGGATTGATAAGTGTAAGCGGCATAGCCTAACGTTGCACAAATTTTTTAACTAGATATATTCTGAATTGCACTGCCTGGACTTTTAGAGGGGTGATAAATCCAGATCAATAAATAAAGTTGAGTTGAGAAGTAAAATTTGTTTACCAAGGTTTGTCATAAAACTGCTGCTTGCCATGAAGTTGGTTAATTTCAGTAAAAAAAAGCTGGGTTGGGCAGTAGAACCTGGCAAACAATAATTTGCATCAATTGTTGGTGTAGGTAATTACACTGGAACGTTCGTGTCATTGATTGATTGAGAAATCCAGTTTAATGAATGAACCTTTTTAGATCCATGAGCAACCACTTCACAGACCTAAGGGCCTTTCTTTTTCGAAGACAACAATGATGTTGCAGTAAGTGTCAATTTTGAGCATAATAATCGTACAGATTTCTATAAGACTAATCTGCAGCAGACAAAAGTAATTATTGGAAAATTGCACTACACGCAGCTTTTCTCGAAGGATTTCCCTCACATTGAGTTAGCCTCTAATTTCTCTGACGTTACTAACAGCCTTGCTAAATCAAGGCTGTTGCGTAACAATCAATACCTTTTATATCTTGCGTGTACTTTTCTAGCTTTATATATAAAAAAAATAAATCGATGTCTATTAGGATTAACTGACGTGACATGTTTGCCTGGTAAACATGCAAGATTGATTAATGAGTACAGTTCGTAACACCTCGAAACTGCAAGTAAGTAGTAGTAATTTTAATAAACTACAATAACACTATGGATGCGAATAGACCCTGATGATATATTGGTGGGGTTCTCAATCTGGAACGCCTGACTGGTGATTATCTTGCTTATGACGTCAGACTTTGTGCAGTACATTGATTCATTATTTTTATATTACAGAAACTAATGAAGTTACATCATTGCTTGAAATATTCAAGCAATTATTAGTGTTTTTAAAGCAATTACATGCTTCAAATGCTTATACATTTCTTAGACCTGAGATATCTACTACACCCTTGTTTGTACAGATTTAAATAACAAATTTCAAGAGATAAATAACCAGCGCCAGCGGTCAAAAATGATGTTGTTAGAGATCTCAAAGAAAACGAGACTTCATTGTTGTGGAAGACTGATTTTATCAAGATATAGGTTCAAGCAGGTACAAGTACTTGTCAGAATTGGTTTGTAATAATACCCTTTTAGCACATGTGAGACGATTAGAATTTAAGATAAATAAGTATTTTATTTCATTGACAACGTCTTAACTTAACACAAAAATGTAGTATTGCATGAGGCATAACGAAATTTGATGAATGGATTTTTTGTAACAGAAATTTGTCTTTTAAATCGTGCCATGATTTTTTTTGAAAAACTACTAAACAGTCAACATGGTCCAGGTCAAATAATAACGACTCTTTAATTCACCTTTTGCGTGAGAGGTATAATGGCAGGAAAAATGAAATGCTGAGACGGAAAAAGCATTAAACTTGGTTTCCGGAAGAGGCATTGCAAGACGATGCATTAAATTGCAACAGAAATATTTCTTCTTTTCGATACGTATTAAGTTTCAACATTTCTAATCAATTGAGAGTTCATTGCCTTTTGATGCATGCAAGCGCTATCCCAATCCAAATCATTTGTGGGTATATACTTATCTCATAAACCTTAATGTTTTGCGCTTATAAGCTGCAACTAGTTCTTTTAGTTGTTTGTTTAGTTCTTTAAGTTGTTGATCAACTTTTGTACTTCTCTATTCATAGATCAATTAGATCATGAGGTGTGAATTTAATTTTCCCATCGATTCTCTTAATATAGTATTTACTATCTCAAGAGCAGCCAGTAAAATAAACTGTTCTTCTGGTGTAAGGTTGTTACTGTTTGGTATTTTGTACTCAACCTTAAAAGATGTTAGTGAGGCTTCATTACTAAATAATCTTTTGATTTTTGTGTATATTTTTCATCATCCTACTGAAGATTTATGAAATGTTTTAAGTGTTTTAGCTATGTTAGAGTGATCAGGTGTAAATTACCTCTTATTATATTTTAAATTAAATTAATTATACAAAAGATTGATCCTGGTCACTTTAATGGTAATGTTTATGGCCCAAAACTTCTTTTTGCGTTCAGTTTAAGTTAAGTTAATAAACGTAATGTTGGTTGACTGGACAAAAAGCGTGATTCGGGTTGGATATTTTTCCAATAATCCTTAATATGTATATACTCCTCGAATGACATCGTTAAGATTAGCACTACAAACAGCAATTTCACCCTATTACTGTCCAACCTATGAAATTTGCCTAAAGATGTTTTAAGTTTCGTACGTTATCAAGCTGATAAAAAACAATATGGTTCGCATGTTATACAGTTCTAATAGATGAAACGTACTGATAAATCGTTCGAGTGCACATTATACAGTAATCGCCACAAAGTATTGATCCAATTATTGCTTGATCAATAACTCCAATCTCCATTGACATCTTTATTAACCTTTCATTGTCCTGTATATGGGATGTGTCGTAATTCCTGTGCTCCATAGATCGATTCTAATAAAATATACTCAGCTTTCGTTATGGGTTAATCCTTTAACGCATAAACTCTACTATGAAAGCACATTTCTAATCCATAGGTTTGACATGTTAGTTAGGATAATATTAGACTACTTGACAAACCGTATTAAAAATGTTTGAAAAGTGATTAAAATTATGTCAAGAGCCATAAAACTCCTTGTATTTTTCTTGTATCTTTTGCTCAGATTTTTACTCATCTTATTTGGATTCCTCCAGAATACCTGGATTTATTCAACAAAAAAGCTATTAATTAGATGGATTTCTGACGGTGCTAGTCTGAATACGGACAGAATAATCAGCACAACTCCCAAAAATTCTGCCCTAAATCTTGATTAGCATTCATATAATAAATTACTATGTCTATCCAGAAGTGTTACTATTAATTACTCAAAAAGCGTAAGCTTTTCTTGATCCACGACATTCTGGAAACTTATTTGCCATTCCTTTTCATACTTTGGATTCAATTAGTCGTTAACCCCAAATTGCGATTGAAGGTATAGATAGAGATGATAAATGTGTGATTAATTGTATGCATATCCCTCAGTCAAGCTATATCCTTACGTTTGCTATCGTTGAATTCTTTTCATAAGCTTTTTTGGCAAAGCAAACATCTTTGCATAAAGCAGACATCTTTTACATTCTTACTGCCCATTTTAAAACTCTTCCCGGTACAAAAAGAAATAAAATTCAAAATTTCCAACATGTTTTCTGAGTGGACACCAGTTTATTCAGACTTCAGTGTATAGCCGCCTCAGAGATGTATTTAGAAAACGTATTTGGGACTCGTCAAAGTGTTAAGTCTTGGTCTCTGTCCAATGGCGCTACAGCCCAAATTGAGCGTTGTGCTCCTTTATCTTCTGCCTTCAACACTGCCCATTAAGAGCAATTCTCTTTCAGGTTAACTATCATTTTAATGGTTTCTTTGGCATTCCTCCTTGGCAAAATTGCTCCTTCTTTTCTATCTCATGTTCTTCTAAAAATATTATCTCTCAATTACTAGTTCAAAATCTAAGATGTTAACCCTTTCACCTACCATTTGTACCCCTGCAAATTGACATTACTCTCTGAAAATAGTAGTCTCTTTTATGTTTATGTCTTATGATTCCATTCTAAATTATTTCATCTTCACTGTCTTGACGTAAACAGCTCGTAAATTAGTGCACATATCTTTTCATAAATTGCTGCTTACGTCACGACATCTTCTTCGTTAGCAGCTTTTAACTGTTGTAAATCATTTAGTGGTTGTTATAACCCGTATCAACTCTTTCTATGTTGGTACTTTCCAATTCAATGCTTCTTATGTACATAATGTTCAAATATAAGCAAATAAACTGCAAGCACAAATCTAAATAATTTTTATTTGAGCTAACCTCTTGAAGTAAAACACAAATTGGTGAGTTACCAATACATGTAGTGACGCAACATGTGTTGTAAACTAGTGATGTCGAGGACATTTTCTACATTATACATTGCTACAACCAA